GGAGGGAAGGGCATGCCTTTTGGCGAGGCAAAGACATAAAGTGTAACTACAATGTTTGTACCCTCACAAAAACCTGGAATAATAAATAAATAAAAAAAACAGTGGTGATCTAGCACCTTTTATATTATCCTGGATAGAGATTGAGCCCAGCCTTTGAAATGAGGTATCACAAGAATGGAAAAACAAGCACCCACATGTACTTGCCATCAAATTGGTACTAAATGATCGACACTAAGGTACTCACGTGGTAGTAATATTCACTGGGTGCCTATCAGGTGGGAGGGGGTTCGTTGGGGTGGGTAAACTCACAACTAATGGATTCAGAGTGCAATGTAGGGAGGGGAGGATATGCTTGTAGCCCTGGCTTGGATGAGGCAAAGGCATTATATGTAACCAAAATGTTTGTACCTTCATAATATTCTGAAGCGCCCCCAAAAAGGAAATAAAAGTAAAATATCTAGTGCTAAAAAATACTTGTTTCCGCACTATTTTAAGCCCAAAAGTATGTTTTAGAGAAATTTTTTAAAATATAAAAATGTAAAAAATACAAACTCATCAAATTGTATTTTTAAAGATGGTTTACCCGTTTTAGATAAATTAAATTTGTAATGTATATAACAAAGGATAGAAATGCAAAAAATAAATAAAACATATTCCCAGAAGCATACTGGTATAATAGATCATTGTAAAGCAACATAATCCCTACAAACTTTGGTGCTTCTGTTGCCTTTTCTAGTCTGTTACTGTCAGAAATAGTGGAATCAGGTAATGAATTTTGTGAGTAGAAGAATATTTAAGTTGCTGTATGGTAGAACCAAAATAATATAGTGGTAATGGTTCGGAGTGCTGTGTCCCGTCTTTGTATTGTAGCCATTTGGTATGATTTTGGGCTCAAGATAAATGGTAGGAAAACTGTGTGTGATTAGAGATTTTATTCAATAAGTCAGAATAGCCACAGGTTTTATTTAGAATAGCCATGAAAATTGAACTTCTCTGAATAATGAATTTATGTCTGACATCAAAGAAATAGCTACGGGTTCAGGATGAGCATAAGTGAATGAAAGAAACAAGTGATCAGTCAGGGCACAATTGGTGGTATCAGAATTATTTTGGGTTGTGTAGAAAGCTGCTCTCTGTGGCCCAGAATGCCGGTGGATGGAAAATGTGGTTCTGCCAGGGGAAGTTACATGTCCTGATGCTCCCTCTGTGATGCTCACTCTTTCATCATTGGTAATAACAGCAGATCTCAAAGAGGTCTGGCCATTAGAATCATCTGTTGTGACTTTTAAAAATATAGGGTTTGAATGTTCCTCCAGGGGTACTGAGTGAGGATCCCCACAGCAAGATCTACTCATGTGATCGTGAAGCAGTGAGCTGAGCATAGGTCTCAAGGCAGACATGAGGGACTGATAAATTGCTCAAGCGTCAGAGTTTGAATAAGCAGAGATTGAAATTTGGATGTTCTGTACATCACCTCTGAAACACTGAAAATGAGTTTGGAATTCTCTGACCTGAGTTTCTTTTTTTGTAAAGTAGGGCAAATAAACCTGCTAAATGTATTGAGGTGGGAAATTTTTTAATTGCAAAATATTAAAGGAGTATAAGTGTTTTTCTTAAAGGGATAAATTGTGCCATGCTGAAGTCAGGGCTTTAGTATACCTCTCACCACAGCAGTTTTCATTGTACCAGATATATAAGTTTTTATCCCTCACTGCCCTCCCTTCCTCCCCCCTTCTTGATTTCCAATATCCTTTACATCTCTTTGTGGCAGTGTTTACCCATTATTTCCCTCCACTTATTACTGAGAGCGTGTGATGTTTGTTTTTCCATTCCTGAGATATTTCGTTTAGGATAATGATCTCCAGTTCCATTAAAGTTTCTCTAAGGGACATTATTTCATTCCTTTTTATGGCTGAGTACCACTCCATGGTGTGTGTGTATGTGTGTGTGTGTGTGTGTGTGTGTGTGTGTGTGTGTGAAATTATGACTTCTTTTCCTTTGAATAGATAACCAGTTGTGGGATTGTTGGATTGATTGGTAGATCAACTTTTAGATCTTTGATGAATCTCAATATGGTTTTCCATAGAGATTTTACTAGTATACAGTCCCACCAACGGTGTATAATCATTCCTTTTTCAGTGCATGCATGCCATCGTCTATTGTTTTTAGACTCTTCTATAATGGCCTTTCTGACAGGGGTGACATGAAATCTCACTGGGGGTTTAATTTGCATTTCTGTGGTGATTAGTGCTGTTGAGCATTTTTTCATGTGTTTGTTGTCCATTTGTGTATCTTCTTTTGAAAAAACTCTATTCTTGTCTTTTCGTCACTCTTTAATGGGGTTATTAGGGGTTTTTTGCTGATTTGTTTGAATTCGTTGTAGATTCTGGATGTTAGTCCTTTGTTGGGTGTATAGTGTGGGAATATTTTCTCTCATTCTGTGCATTGTCTGTTTTGTCTCTTGATTATTTTTCTTGCTGTGCAGAAAGTTTTTAATTTAATTGTCTCATTTATTAATTTGTTATCATTGCTGTGTTTGCCATCTGGGTCTTTCTCATAAATTCTTTGCCTAAGCCAATGTCTAGAAGATTTTTTCCTACTTTTTCCTTCTGGAAATTTTATGGTTTTAGGTCTTACATTTAAGTCTTTAATGTATGTTGAGAGAGGGAGGGATCCTGCTCGATTCTTCTGCATGTGGCTGTCTAATTTCCCCGGCATTATTTATTGAAAGGGCTTCCTTTTTCGAGCGTGTGTTTTTGACTGCTCTGTGACAATTCAGTTGGTCAGAGCTACATGATTTTATATCTCGGGTCTCTACTGTGTTCCATTGGGTTATGTCTCTACATCTATACGAGTGCCATCATCTTCAGGTTATTATAGAGTTGTAGTAGAATTTGAAGTCAGGTAATGTGATGTCGCTAGATTTGTTGTCACTGCATAAATTTGCTTTGGCTATTTGCACTCTTTTTTGGTTTCATTTAGGATTAATTTATCTAGATCTGTGAAAAGTGACATGGGTATTTTGACGGTACTGGCAATGTGAGAATTGATTGTCATCTGTGTACCAATAGCCTGGTCCATTGCAGGGCACATTGGAATTCATTGATAAGTGGCAGCTATGACTATCACCATCATATTTATGCATAACATTCAGATATATTTGAATCTGTGTATAGTAGTATAAAAACATTAAAAAATACAATAATAATGTCAGTCTGAAACAGACACAAAATATGGACGAAATAGTGACTTCTTTTGCTATTGTTTGCATCTTGCTTCCATTTCCCAGTACTCAAAGGTCTATGGCCCAGTGTTCACTCTGTATTTTGGCATGAAGCCTATGGTGGTGTTACATGGATATGAAGCAGTGAAGGAAGCCCTGATTGATCATGGAGAGGAGTTTTCTGGAAGAGGCTTTTTCCCAATTACTGAAAGAGTTAGTAAAGGACTTGGTAAGTGTACGTGTGCCTGAATCAGCAGTGGCAAAGGGGGTGGTGAGGATGGAAACACAGCTTGGGTGGGCAGAGCTTGGCCCACCCACATGCGTGTGCAGTGTCAGCTCCCTCCTCCTCGAGGGGGATTTCACTCCTAGTTTCTGTTTCCCATTCTGGTAGGAATCATTTCCAGCAATGGAAGTAGATGGAAGGAGATCCGACGCTTCACCCTCATGACCCTGCGAAATTTCGGGATGGGCAAGAGGAGCATTGAGGAACGTGTCCAAGAGGAGGCCCGCTGCCTTGTGGAGGAGTTGAGAAAAACCAAGGGTGGGTGACTCTCTACTCTGTATCACTGACCTCTA